CCTTGCTTTGTCGCTTTGCCTTTGGTTTGCTCCATCCCACCGGCCTCTTGGTTCATGGTGGGCCCTTGAGTCTAGGTAAGTATACTTATTCTCCACTGGGAATTCAGTGTGACAGGTGCCAGGGGGAGGTGACCCGTGGGAGGTTGTCATGGTTACCCCCCTTTATTTGCGTTTTGCCCACACTTGCTCATTGCCTGCTTTTCTGTCAATTGGCAGCTACCCTCCATTTCGAATATTGCTTATCGACAAGATAACCAACAGAAACAATACATAGGTAATTACAAGCCGATCCTTAAGTAAAATACAAATTCACGTTTGTTTTGGAAGCTCTGCCCTGGGCGTCGCCTTCCTCATTCCGCGGTTGAATTCGAAATCAAAACACTATAACGTATAAGATTATAACTTACTCTGGAAGAATTGATGTTCAAAATTGAGTCAAAGTTTGATCAAAGGACAAAGTCTTCTGAAGAAATATTCCAACGGTCTCCAACCTTAGACGGACAATGGTAAGGGCTTCGAGATAAGGGCTTCTTATGTCTTAGGCTCTTGACTTGTTTACTGCAGGTGGGGCTTTTGTTGACTGGTTTTGCACGCTTTGTCGGGTTTCTGTGATTAGGACATTATTAGGCCTGAATCAGAATTCTGCTGACAAATTGGCACATTCTGCCGGCTGGTAGTGCTTGTAAAATGGTGTAATCCCAGGTTGTAGTGAACAGGGGGAGAGGCTGATAGTCCTTTATGAAAACTACGTGAAAAGGAATGGTTTAATGTCGTAAACAAGTCTGCTAACCTTACGCTAAACGATATAAGAAAACATGGTTTTTCATGTCTTAAGTACATATATTTGTTAACTGGTTTTGCACAGTGTGCTTAACCTGCTGGTTTCTGTCTTTTCACGCTGTCTGAGGTAAGACTAGGGTTGAATAAATTCTGCTCACAAATTAGAATATTCTGCTTGCCTGCGGAACTAAAATTGGTCTATTCCTGGGAAAAGGGGGTGAGGTACTCACAAAGCGAAAGGGTACGACTTTGCCCAGAAGAATCAGTTGAAAACGCAACAATCACAGGTCATTCTGGATTTGTGTTTGAGGAAAACTCGGGCAACAAAGTCACATAATTATCGTGACGTCATCGATTTCTTAAAGCTCCGTTTTTAAAATGTTTTCCATTCACACGAAAACGCAAAGCCGGCGTTTTCAAATTCCTACGGTTTGAAGAGCGTTTTCAAAAAGCTCTGTTTTCGTGACGGATTAGTGTGGACTGTGGGCCTAACCTTAGAAATAAAGCTGCGTTTTCAAATTTCTCCGGCGTACCGTGGACGCAGCCTAGGAAGTCTAAGAAAGGAGTGGTTAAAATCCAGAGAATAGAAACAGACAGTGAAATCCCGTTAATCCAGTGAACAATGGGCCACAAAAATCTGGCCGCAATATTAACGGAGTGACGCGGGGTGGCCGTATTCAAAGGGGTTCTTTAAATAAGATGATGACCGACTGAGTTTTTGTTCGGACCAGAATACAGTGGGGTGGCCGTAAAGCGAGTTTCCACTGGGCAAGTGATCATATAATATATTTTTCTTCAAATGTGTTAATATATTTTCATTTCTAGCCCACATATGGAACGGGAAATCAAACACGATTTAAGAGTGACTATTTTAACGTTAAGAAAATTGAAATTTGTCATTTATTACTAAGTGAATGCATTTTTAAAGAGTTTAAAATGCTTATATAAACGGTTTGTCCACTTAACAAATTACGTGCTTCAGTAGCTCGTCTTGCCTAATACTGGAAAAATTCTGCCGGCAGAATTTTGCTCACTCCCGGAAATTTTTACGGCACTCTTCTTGAAACATTTTACTAGCTAGATACACAAACATTAGAGAAGGCCTTCATATTACCCATGTTAACTAAAGCTTCTCAAGAGGTGATTGATCATAGAAATGAAAAAAAAATTTCTGAGAATTATACCTTGATGCCGACCGAGTGCACCAACCATGCACTCACTATCTACCACAAAAATGCCGGTTAAAATCTACACGCCATTTCAGACAGAAACAGCTTAAAACCCTAATCTTTGGCTTCTGAGAGTACCTGACCCCCTTTCCACGGTAATAGACTATTTGTAGTCCTGTTGGAAAGCATAATATTCCAATCTGTGAACAGAATTTATTCAACCCTAGCCTTGCCCAGACAGCACAAAAAGACAGAAACCTGGTAAGCATACTCTGCAAACCCGTAAACAGTATGTCATCAGAAAACAATTTTATGAACTCAAGACATAAAAAGACATGATTTTGTTAGTACGTTATAGTCTTTTTCCAATCATAAATCAGGTGACAAAGCGTTGAATCTTCTCGTCAAGTAAGTCAAAATCTCAATTACAAGAATACCTATAGGAAATGTACCAAGGTTTCTCTCCAATAGAGGAAAACCTAGTGCTGGTTATGAAACAGCTTGTTTTGCGAAGTTCTCTTTGTACTTGTTGTCGTAGTTTGCTTAAGCTCTCGATCAACGACGTTAAGGTCTTGTTAATACAAATTCATTTAACATGGATCCATCCTTGGTGTAGTTAGGCTCCTTAGCAGTCGTTGATATTAACACTGTTTACCGGAGTAACAATGCATGCCTGGTGAACTCCGGGATTTGGACAACTGGCAAAAACACTTTAATTGGGATCGCAGCCACCTCGATTATGTCTGGTAATGTCTTATTTCTAACTTTATCATATTCAGGTTGAAGATGAAGTCGATGATTCTCTTCAAGTTCATTATGGTGCCCTTCGTTATCTTGCATCTATCAAAAGGTTGGGATTTCCTAGTTGCTCTTAGAACAATGATTTGAGATGGTAACCCATAGCTTTAGATATGGTATACCCACAGCATAGGCATTTTTAGAACCTCTTATTTGTCGATGTATTCGTATAGAGCGGTTTTTAATTAAGTGCCGGAAACAATCAGGCAATCAGTTTGGTCTTACTACGGTTTGAGATTGGCTGAGTAGTCTGATTAGTAAGTAGTTGGTTTGGTTTTGGTTTTACAACACTCAATTGAAATCCTTGCTAATGGAAGAGTTATGACCCTATTAAATCAGTTGAAATTTGGAGTGTAAAATTAAATCGATACTTGTATTTTTCACGATCTCTGTCCTTGTTGCGCTGGTTTAGAAGAGAGTTCCAGCCCCTGAGTATATTGATAATTTGCAAATCGTGAACTGACCATCCATGTAAGATTTTGGTCCAACAAAATCTATTTGAAACAAATATTATTAAAAAGGAAGGCTATTACTGGAACACGATTATTATTTGAAGTTGATAAATGTAAATGGTTAAATATTTCAGCCGCGGAAGGTTCAAGTAGCAGCAGCACAAGGAAAGGCTGCTACACTTTCCATGACGTCGACAGTTCATGGAAAGGGGCCCGTGACGCGTGTCGAAACAGGGGAGCTCATTTGGTTACCATGGAAACAACCAAGGAGTGGAACACAGTGAAGGGCTTCCTCACAGAAAAAGCTAAGGAGACCGGAAGTTACACTCACTATTACATTGGACTCCGTAGAGAAAATGGAACGTGGAAATGGACGGAGGCTGGAGCGCCTCGTGTCACTGTGGCCAGAGATGACAGCCGCTGGCAGTATGCCGAGCCCTCTAACACCGCTTCTGAAGATTGTGCTGAAATCAATTCTTAC